GAACAGGCACTATTAGAATGGATCCCCGTTAACAGTCGCCTGTGTGCTGTCCGGCTAAATGGCTCCGTAAGAACTCGGAAGGATAGGGACACACGTCGTTGCCTTTTCGTCGTTTCTGCCTACGCTCCCACTGACTGCAGCCATGATGAGGTGAAAGATGACTTTTACAGAAAGCTCTCTGAGCTTCTTCAGAAAGCTAAGTGCTCAGACATAGTAGTCGTAGCGGGTGACTTTAATGCCCAGGTAGGCAGCTTGAATCAAACAGAAAGACATCTAGGTGGGTGTTTTAGTATTCCGGCTCAACGAAGCGATAATGGTGATCGTCTGTTGCAACTATGCTCAGACAATCGTTTATTTTTGGCAAGCACTAATTTTAAACATAAGGAGAGACATCGTCTAACATGGCGACCACCTGCACCAAACCAACGATGGACTCAAATAGACCATATTGTCATCAGTCATCGTTGGAGAGGCTCAATAGAAGATTGTCGCTCGTATTGGAATACTTGTTTAGACTCTGATCACGCTTTAATACGAGCACGCATTTGTCTGCGCCTCAATGGACGCAGGAAAAGTAAACTAAGAAGACCCGTTAGGATTGAACTGGAGGACGAGAAAGCCAAATGTGAATTCCAGAGACAACTGAGTTCACATCTAGGCAGTTCTGTAAACGAGACTGACCCAGATGCTGCTTGGAAAGGCATACGAACAGCTGTGGAGACAGCAGTAACATCTATTAGTCATTTAAACCATAGGGCTCCAAAAAACCAGTGGATTTCTTCTAGGTCTATTTCACTGATGGATTCGCGTAAACTCATACCATCAGGCTCTGAACATGACGAAGAGCGTAAACAAATTAGATCTAGGTTAACTAAAAGTCTAAGGAACGATCGTGAGCAGTGGTGGGCAACGAAAGCAAAAGAGATGGAAAAGGCAGCGGTTGTAGGCAACACCAGGCAACTATTCAGACTAATAAAAGAAACTGGAATTAAGAAGTCAAGTGTAAGTGAGACGATCTCGGAAAAAGATGGAACCCTTATCTGCTCTCTACCCAAACGTTTAGAACGATGGGCGGAACACTTTAAGGAGCAGTTTAGCTGGCCTTCAGCTACTGCACAACTACCCACTATTCCTAGAAAACCTGAATGGAACATTGAAGTAGGCCCCCCGACCCTACTTGAAGTTCAAAAAGCTATAAGTAATCTGAAACGAGGAAGAGCAGCTGGTCCTGATGGATTGGCTCCAGAGGTCTTTAAATATGGTGGTCCAATTTTAGCGATTAGGTTGACTAATATTCTGGCTAAAATCTGGGAGACGGATGTAATCCCATCTGACTGGTCACAATCTCTGATTGTCCCAATATATAAAAAGGGGTCAAAATCATCCTGCGATAACCATAGAGGGATTAGTCTGACTAACATAGTATCTAAAATACTAGCCTCAATAATTATCAGGCGCCTAACTAAAACTCGTGAACTGCAAACACGAGAAAATCAGGCTGGCTTCAGACCTGGTCGTGGCTGTATCGACCACATATTCACCATTCGTCAAGTTTTAGAGCACAGACATGCTTATCGGCGTCCGACAATGATAGTTTTTCTTGACTTGAAAGCAGCATTTGACTCTGTAGACCGAGAGGTTCTGTGGCAGTGTCTGTCATTGAAAGGTGTACCTGAGAAGTACATAAACCTTGTGAAGGCTCTTTACTCGAACACTATCAGTCGAGTGAGAGCTTATGGCGAACTGTCATATGATTTTACAACCTCAAGTGGTGTCCGTCAAGGCTGTCCACTATCCCCATTTTTGTTTAACTTCATTATAGACCTGTTGCTGGAAATAACACTCTCTTCGACTGAGTTTACAGGAATTGATCTCCTACCAGGGGGACCACTAAGCGACTTAGAATACGCAGATGACATAGTCCTGTTTGGTGAAGACGCTGACAAAATGCAGAGTCTTCTGTTGGAACTCAGTAATAATGCCAGGATGTTTGGGATGCGTTTCTCCCCATCCAAATGTAAATTGTTACTCCAGGACTGGCCTGCGTCAACACTCGAACTAGGGATAGGGAGTGAAGTAGTCGAACGCGTTGACAACTTCACTTATCTTGGAAGTCTGATCAGCCCTAATGGGTTGGTGTCTGACGAAATCTCAGCACGGATTCAAAAAGCTCGTTTGGCTTTTGCCAACTTACGTCACCTATGGCGAAGACGAGATATCCGTCTATCAATTAAGGGACGAGTATACTGCGCAGCAGTTCGCTCTGTTCTACTTTACGGCTGCGAAACATGGCCATTAAGAGTAGAAGATACTCGTAGGTTACTAGTATTTGACCACAGATGCCTTAGAAATATTGCTCGCATCTGCTGGGATCACCGAGTAAGTAATAGTGAGGTTAGACGCAGGGTATTAGGTAACGATGGTAAATCAGTTGATGAGGTGATAAATCTTCATCGACTGAGATGGTTGGGCCATGTGTTACGTATGCCTGAACACCGATTACCACGACGCTCTATGATGACTAGTATTGGGGACGGTTGGAAGAGAGTTAGGGGCGGCCAAACCAAAACATGGCATCAGTGTTTGAAGTCACTAACTTCTAGCCTGAGCCATGTTGGCAGATGCAGACTACCTGGTTGGGGTCCGCGTGACTATCGTAATAAATGGTTGGAGACTCTAGGTGACATGGCTCAGAATCGATCACAATGGCGTAGGTGTATACACTCTTTATCTTCCCTTAAACCTTGAGATTAAAATTGCTTCATAACCTTCTTCCTTCCTGTACTATATCCTTCTATACAATCTTTCTTTATATACTACCATCACTAAATTAATTGCTTCTATGAATCCGGTGTTCATCTTGTTGTGCTAAAGGGGTATGGCAACTTGGACCGATGCATATATGTGCCTGGTCCTACGTTGTAGCTGACTGACTGACTGATTTGAGTTCCTACGAATGCCATTTGGATTACGGAATGCTGCTCAAACTTTCCAAAGGTTTATCGATAGCATTGTACGAGACCTAGATTTTGTTCACGTCTATATTGATGACCTGCTAATCGCATCATCAAACGTAGATGAACATTATCAACACCTGACGCTACTATTCCAGCGCCTTTCGGATAATGGAATAATAGTCAACCCCGACAAGTGTGAACTCGGGAAGAAGGAAATAAAATTCTTAGGTCATGTTATTAAGCATGAAATTATTCTACCTTGTGAGGATAAAGTACGTACTATAATGGAGTACACTGTACCGTCAACACTCAAGGAACTGAAGGCATTTCTCAGTTTGGTCATGTATGTGGGGGATGGGATAGCTATCGAAACGTGTAGCTGTGTTTAACGCTCGGTAGTCTCCGCATGGTCTCCAACCAACCCCATCCTTTTTTCGAACCATGTGGAGAGGTGAGGCCCAAGGACTGTGAGAAGGACGAATAATACCAGTAGCTAGTAAATTGTCGAACTCACGTTTAGCGAAAGCTAATTTGTCCGGTGCCAGTCGGCGAGGTCTTGCCGTGACTGGTGGTCCGCGGGTGACTATGTGGTGTACCACACGATTGGTCACCAATGGAGTCTCCTCGAAAGGTTTAGTTAATTTGGGGAATTTCTGAAATAAAACGTGGAATAAATCGTCACGCGAATGAAATACACCTGTGATTCGGTACGCGTTTGTGTGGGCTTTAGAGCCCATAAAGTTGCTGTTCGACGAAGTATCAATTAGCTGCAGCCTACGTGAATCGACTAGCAATTCATAGTGCTGTAGGAAATCGATACCGAGTATAGCTGTGGGAACATCGACAATGATGAACGTCCACAGATACTGTCGTCGGTTGCTCAGGTTGACCGTAAGTTGTCGTGTACCATAGGTGGGAATGACTGAGCCATTCGCAGCGCGTAGTCGAAGCATAGTGGCTTGAGACTTACTGTTACCGATAGGTACGACAGAAACTTGGGCACCCGTATCCACAAGGTACCTAGCGTTGGTGCGATAATCGTGCACGTAAAATAAACGGCTAACCTGAGGTGAAGTGCCGGCGAGTACGGCCGCATTTACTCGCCGGCTGAGAAGTTTCCCGCCTTGTATGAGCAGGGAGCTCGACAATGACGGGCACCGGCTCCGAAAGCACGGTGAAACCAGCACCAACCTGGACTCGCTTCCGAAACCGCCTTCTGGCGTGGCTTGGAAGGTGCCCGCTTGGGGCGAGTCGTTACGGCTTTTCGAGATTGTGACCTGGGTCGGGGGACGTAGGGGGCTGGCACATTTGAGCGGTCTCGAAAACTGAGACGAGTATGAATACATCTGTCCCTATCCCCATGAGCCGGAGGTCGTCTAGCATCGAGATCAATGTTAGAACGGGAAGTACTAGCAACCAAATAGTCGTCTTTGGTGTTAACTCGTGCTAGAATCTTATCTGCTATGAGGGCCACCTTGTTGAGCGGGGTGTCCTCGAGCAGAGCCGTAAGGGTTGGCTGGATACTGACTGGTAAGGCTTCGAACCACAACTCTTTGACTATCTCAGAGTCAGCTGTCATGTTTCCTGCAAGGGATTGCAGGCGCGTGAGGTGGTGGCTCGGCTTAGCATCACCCATAGGGTGACGTGCTAAAAGTGTCCTCAATCGTTCCTCTCTTGATGGGAGGAAATGTCGAAGGATGGCATCCTTAAGACGGTCATAAACGTTTGGAACGTTGGGATTGAGGACAACCTCACGGACAGCGGTTAGGTGATCCCCGGGCAATGATTCCAAAGCGTAGGCGTATTTCTGCCTTTGGTTGGTTATGCGGCGGATCTCAAATTGGGATTCCAGTGCCGCGAACCAGACTTCTGGATCATGGGGGATGAAAGGAACCGGTCGGAAACTGATAACCTGTATCTCGGAGTCTATCATATTTATGTTATTCTTATCGTTATCTACCATATTAAGTTACCAAAATATTATATATTGAAAAAAATCAATACGAATATATGCAACAGATTTGGATAGATAAATAGACTCACCGGATTGATCTGGTTTGGAGAATTGGTCAAGTTTGACTTGTGCTCGATGGATTGGGTTACCAGCTGTATTGCGTGTTCCAACAACGGCTCACCAGTTTGTAGTTCACCAGATGTGCGTGTTCCCAATACGGCTCACCAGTTTATAGTGGATGTCGAGTCGAAGACGGACTATGATCACGACTACAATTCGTTTACGCGCCCAAAAACGACTTGGTTCCTTTGTAAATCAGAAGGCTTTATTAGTCCAGATCAAGTATATTTATTGGCGATCTCGTGGTATCGAAATAATACCGAGACGTGCCAAAGATTACAGGCGAACAGGCAGTGCGTGAGCAAGCTCGAACCAAACAAGGCGGAATATGGAACAAGAAGTGAGTCTGATACAGTTAAACAAATACAGTAAAACAATTTCTGGTACAATTGGTTACAATAATAATAATTGTTTCTGTTATTCCAATCGTGTTCTTATCGAGACTGGCCGGTCACTACAAAACTATGCACAATATGAAATAAAATATAATGTAGAGACAGATAATCAACATCATCAGAACCATATGAGCTTTCTCAGCACTTTGATGATGCGAAACAATATGGCACAAGTGTGAAGATCCTAAAGTGCTGTACAACAGCAAGTACAGTTGCTTCAAGTTGGCTTAGAGATTGTTTATTGGAAATAGTGATAGTACGGACCACACTTCCTTGACCTTAAGTTTGGGCTACGCGGTAGACTTGCAAGGTGAAATGGTTCAAATGGTTCAAATGGTTGAGGACGGAATAGAAGAAGCTTTCGCTTAACGGGCTTCCGTGTCTGGTAGCAGTGGATCACCAATACCTCCAGGCAAGAACCTAGGTATATGAACGATAATAGAGGGAAAAAAAAGAATTTGGTAAATCATAATAATAAGCTCTAATAATAAGCTCTTGAGGCAATCAAACTAAGATACAATCACAGTTAGTTTCACGTGATGTTTATATCAAAAGCATGCAAATCGTTTTATTTCGGATGATTTTCGTTGTTTGCATTCATACTTGTAGATATTCATCGAACATAAATTACTCGAGTGTTCATAGACGAAATAGAAAAATCTCTGGCCCTTGACTTCGGATGACATTGCAGTCTCACGTTCCGGCGAGTACGCCTACCTGTACTCTCTCGCGACTAACCTCCTAATTAACAAGGAATACGGTATAGGTCCGTATTCCTATACTACATGCATGCTACACTTTTTTTCTTTATTCCTTGATTTTTTTATCCTGGGCCCACGCCTCCGATCAAAGCCCTGTTGGTACTGTCGACCTCAGTCAACTCTGGCGAAAGCTGGCTTGATCACCCACGCTTTTGTCAACGCAATCAGTCGATGTTCCTGACTCCAAATACGTATAGCATACATTTGGCCCTGAACTTGGTTAATATGGTCGCTCCTAGTTTCTTGGCTATATGTGGAAACGTCCTACGTCTGCAGGGTTTTCCGGGCCTACGCCTACGGACACAATCTTCAGATTCTGGATACAAACCACTCTGGTGTGGCACACCAACTCAAGCAACAAATACAGCACGTTTCTCCTGGTACCGTTCTACGTAAAAAACCTTTGGTGTCAACTCGAGGGTCAACCAATGCTTCCTGTTCTGCCAACGCCTTCATCGGACAATTGCACATTTGCCGATGAACGAAACCGCTACTTATCGGAAGCGTAAACCATTCCTAGCGGGAGGCTTCTGTAGTGACCTATTTTTGTGAAGAGAACATTTATAATTACATTCGATTTTACCAGTGATTGTCTTATTGTACTTGTTTGTTTAAGTGCACCAAAACACTTTCTTCCGTTGCCTGTGACGTTGCTCGAACTCATGTTCGCTCATTAGTTCCACTTGTAAACATTGATACGTCTCGGTATTCTTTCGATACCATGAGATCGCCAACAAGTATATCTTACTGCAACTGTCAACAGCCTTCTGGTTTTTGGTTTACGGAGGGATCCAACTCAGTATCTAGCTCGTAATCTCCCTGTATTGGTTTTCATAGTCGATCGCGACTCGACGCCATTCACAGACTTATAAGAAGTTGCTTGGATCACCATAGCCAGCAGCGAATTCAATGATTTGACTACTCGAAAAACGTAAAAAAGTTGCCTTCAGGTTACTGTGCTTTATTATGTTCCTAGTTTCTGGGCGTTGCCTCTATTGTTTGTATTGGAAAATGCTTTAAAATATCTGCAGTTAAAATTTGTGCATTCAACGACAGCCCAAAACACACAGAACTAACTCTGCTAATATGAATTTTTCTCAATTTTAACAGATTTAGGAAGGTTCACTTCGTAGCATAGATGGTTTCGCAATATTTTTAACTATGACTAAATTGCACAAGTGACGTGTGCGCTATACAAACGCTCGTAGTCAGAAAATAAAACGTACGAGCTAAACTAAATCATGAGACCTCTGGGTCTCGATACAAATGTTGTTAGAGAAATGTGACTCTTCGTAGATGTAGACTGTTCTTTGATAGGGTAACATGGTGGTTGGAGGTGGTCAACAGGAAACCCTGGACCTGGGTTTCGTGCTACTTGGCACTCGTCAGCATGGTGTACCTGTAATCTTGAGGGAACTGATGCTCCCTGGCGGATTCGATCCCGTGTCACTCAGCTTCACAGTCAGAGACGTTACCATTCAGCTATTCGGGCCGCGACCGACCTCCTGTAGGACTGAGATCTAATCACAATTGATCGATCACTGGGTGGTGATCAATCTAATACGTGTCAAGTCCTTAGTGCTTATCGAATGCTATCGACTAAGCTGCGTTATGGCCACCAGTCTAGGTGGCTCGACACTGCGTGCACTATATATATTAAGGTAACTGTTCTTTGATCACTGAGAGCCCGATTTGCGTTAGAAAAGGTAAAGTTATAAATCAAAAGCGAGGAGACATAATATTATTTATTATTAAAATCGGGTTAATCAAAGATGAACCATTGAGGCTTATATGAAGTAGCTTATAGCACAATTTGTGGGGTCGTGACGGTATGAGGAACATAACGTAGCGTACGTTGCCTTGCTGAGGACTTTGCCAAAGTCAGATCTGTAAGTGAAATAAGGCTCATTGTTGTCTCATCGCTAAAGATTTCAAAGAGCCACACGGTTCTGTGGGGCTTATAGCTTCAGGTGTATGTTTTGACGGCAACCTACTGACAACTACCGTACAATGCTCACCTGTACAATTCACCACAAAAGCGAAACATATTGACTTAGAACATAAACCACCATTGCAGGACTGTGTGTTTACACACCATTGTGATGATGTCACTGACAAACAGTACGTTATATTGGCCAAATCTGGATATGTATCTCCAGGTCTACTCTGTGAGTTTTTCTAATGACATTTCTCACGACCACATCACTGGTCTACAGCTATAGAACCATTATTGTGACTGGAAAAGCTCTTTCGTGACATCTCATTAACCTCTAACCTAGTAAGTCACCGTGTCCACATGGGTTTCATCCAATAACGTGATCATCCCCCGTGCTAACTACTTAGGAACCACTCACATCGGTGTTAGATATGTCACTATCCTAGGCTCATCTCCCAAGGGATTGGAATGTCGATATTTTCAGCCCTATAATTACGCGTGAAAAGTGGTCAGTTGTGTCTAGGTAGTGATCTGACAGTTTTGCCAGCATAATAGTCAAGCTACTTGAGAAAATAATTCAGGTTGAGCTGCAAAATCACGTAGGATCAAGGAATCTGTTAGCTGATCAATATAGGTTTCGAGATAAGCATTAATCCTAAACTAACTTACTGATTTCAAGAAAGGATTGGACGGGAGTACATGGCGACGTTTTGTCTGTCGATGTGATATTCATCGATTTTAGCAAAGCTTTTGACAAAGTTTCTCACTTAGGGATTGTGCAGAAGCTATCAAGATTTGGAATAGCGAGTACCGTACAAGAGTGGATAAGAAACTCCACATGTGTCAGGAAATAGAGGGTGAGGGTAAATGTGACATCGTCTTGATGGAATTTGAAGGTGGTGTATCCCAAAACACTTAGGTTCCCTATATTTTCTTTTCTACATCAACGAATTATCACGACTTCATAAGTCGTCAACATTGTTTTCAAAATCTGGCGAACGATAATTAATGAAGCTGATCGTCTTGCTACAAGCTGATTTAGAATTACTTTTATGGTCCCAAATTCGGGGCTCAAAAATTAATCACAGGAAGATTGTGCTAATGCATATCAGACTCGGAAATAGTCACTTGTGTGTTATCGACGGCATATTGCTTCTAGATATTCAGGAACTAAATCTTTAAAGAGCCACAGTTGTTTATGACTTGAAAGCTGTTAGATATTTATGAGTGCTATTATCACTTCACCAAGCATTCAAGCACTTAAAAAAGATATTTTCCGAATTTTATGTAGCACTTATATGAGGTTTCTTTTAGAGTATGCGTACACGAAGCTAGTCCATGTCTTGTTGAGGATGCTGATATACTCAAGAGTGTTCAACATGTGAGAACCACGTTAGGGATGAGTCTTTCTAAACTCTTTTATGATGAGTTCTTAAAACACTTAAGCCTGTTCCCCTAACCTCATCTTAGAACTCAAGATGGACACTGAGATTTTGTATTTTAAATGATGGTTGGAAAGCTAAAACGTCCCTCTTTTCTTCCTTTCCTCAGAACTAATCCTTTTCAGAGCTACAACAAGAGGGTTACAAATCCATGATAATATAAACCCAAGTCAAGATATCATTTTTCTCACTGAATAGTCAATGACTTTTTATTAAGTAGGCAACGCCTTGTCCGAATAAGAGGTACTAGCTCCGCCTGTAGAACCCAAATTAAGGTTTAGACTGAAGAATAACTGTTCAGGTAGTTCAGATACGCGCTGCTGACCAGATGAAACTAAAACAAGATGAATGGGTAAATAACGGTTCTAAATTTCATTATAAATACAAATGCACATTATTACCTAAATAACTATTACCACTTAGTTATTCAATCAATAGTTGTTCACTCAATAATCGATCTAAATTACAATAAATAAACAAATTGATAAGGAATGTAAGAAAATTATCGAGCACACCAAAATAAATGTTATTCTATCCTTTCTGGATAGATCACTTAAAAATTCGTTCAAAAGATAGTATTTGGTTGCTTTATAACAGAGTGTTCCCAACTCTGGAAAAATGCTTCAATTCACAATCGGAAGTGTACAATCCCACTCAATGCAAGCAACACAATCTAAGGGGGGAAGAAATCAGTATGGCTGCCGCCAAGACTAAGTATCAACTGAGACAACATAAATCAGTTCAGAAAGAGACATGAAAACGCAGTGAACGCGTAAAGTAAATAAAAACTATGATAAAATACAAATATTACCATCTGAAATGGAATCAAAAAGACTATGAAAACATACAACTGAAGGAATCAATAAGAATAAATCACATGTGTAAACATGAGGGGGTTTTCACACACAAAACCTCCGAAATGGTCCTTACACCACCAGTAAACACCACCGCAAGGACTAACTCAGGTTTATTGATCAACTATAATTCTCACTGAAGACTGATTCAAGCATAAATTCCTCCTCCTTAAGACTTCATCATCCGTAACGATAGAGAAATTCTTATCAAATAAATATTTGTGAAGTCTTTTAACAACCCAAAACAAAGCTAAAGCTTCTCACTGAGTTTATGGATAACATTGTTTAGCAACAGTAAGTGTGTGTGAAATACAGATTACTAGTTTACC